ATGTCACAATAATGTGATCTTCTTGGAAAGTCAAAGCAGGCTGTGCATCCTCAGTTCCAACAGGATCTTGATGTCATACATATCAAAAGACCGGAACTCAAAGACTGTGATCTGCATCTGTGTATTTACGATTAAGTTATAGAAATTACATATGCTATTTCAGTCTTTACAGAACCAAGTGCACAGAGATTTTATTGGAGTTTACATCTATTATTCCTACCAAATTTCCCAGGTGAGTAAAATGAACAAGTGAGTATTACTATGGGTGAGGATGAAGTAGGAGTCACTATTATTATCCTGTAAAACAGTGACAGGTATAGTACACAACTAAGTCATTTAAGCATTTAAAATAGGCATAGTGTGTCATTCCTTTGAGCTTCAGATAATGTTTCATCTATAAAACAAAAGTGATAATGTATTTATTTCATGATGTTTTGGGGAAAGTTTAAATGAGCTATTGCATGGAAATGGCAAATAACTATGTACCATGTAGGTATTAATTCTTGCTATTGCTCATCTTTGTAAAATATGATGATAGAGCAATGTATTTTTCATCTATGTCAAATGTTTGCTCTTTGAAGACATCATCATAAAAGCCTAGATAGGGCTTTATATATAATATGTTTGCCTCATTTGGGGGGATTTCACAAGGTCAATGGTTCAGATTAAAAATACATTTATATTTATATTTATTTTACCTACAGCATTTATTTTACACAAATCATCTCCCACTTATTACAATATGAAGAGCAAAATAATTGTAATTCTTTCATTCTGCAGATTATTTGGCTGCAAACATGTTAATGTTATTTCAGCCTTGACCTCTTCCTGAATAAGAGTTGTGGGTATTTGCAGCATTATTTTTTTACTGACAAGACAAAGCTCCTCTCTCTTTCTCTATGTGTGTGTGTGTGTGTGTGTATGTGTGGAGAGAGAGAGAGAGAGATTTAAATGTATTCCATCTGTATATTTGCAGTATATATACAGTATATATATATATATACAGTATATATACAGTAGTATATATACTACTGTATGGATATGCAGGTAAGAGAACTGTGGAAGTCAGTTCTTCAGTTCTTTCTAACATGTGTCCTGGGAATTTAACTTGAGTTGTCAGGTTTGTTGCCAAGTACCTTTAGCAGCTAAAACATCTCAACAGTCCCTTTGTGTGTTTCGAGAGGTGAAAAGTGAGAAAATGAGTTGCAGAGGTAAGGCGATAACAGTTGGCTGTTACAGAAAGGATGCCTGGAATCTCTGTAATAATGAGATTGATTGAGGAAGGAGGATTGACAGTTCAAGGTCACACTAAGGTATAGAGTAAGATTTTGTCTTAATCTAAATAATCTAGATATAACATAAAATATAAAACACAACTGTAAATATGGGAAGAAAGTAGAATGTAATAACTGTAAATTTGTTTTTTTAGAATCCAGTCAGTTTCTTGGAAAGATCTCCAGAGATCTTTATCAAAGTTATTCAGTCTGAGAAGATAGTACTGAGTTCTTGTTTTGGCTCTGTCACTAGCTAGTTTTGTGAGGTAAGCAAGCTATTTCTATTCTCTAAGTCCCGATTTCTCCATAAGACACGTGAGGATACTGCACCTGTCTTTTTCTCACCATTTTTATCTTGCTTTTGCTAAGTAAAACTGCTGGGGGCAATTTCACTGCCTGCCAGTATCCAAGGGACAACTGTGTAAGAAATGAAAAACCAAACCTAAACTTCCTAAACTCCCTTGACCCAGTGAACTGCAATTTTGTGAACCCCCCACCAGCTCTCATTTATTTGTTTTTAATAATATGTTCTCACTCAGTTGAGGATGATGTAAAATGCATGTTTGCTTATGAGACCACAGCTGAGTCATCCAGGAATCATTCCTTGCTGGCAGGATGGGTCTGCTAGTCTCATTAGACAAAGAGCTTGAGGGGCCCAATAACAGAGGAAAGGGCTGTGAGTTTTAGAGGGGATGATATGAAGGACCATCAGCTCCTTAGCTCTAGAAATGAGGGCTAACTTCACTGTAGTCTTTTTTTGGGGGGTATATTAAACTTCTGCTTTTACCTAGACTGGCATTATTTCTGAATCTAGGTTGCAAAATTGATCATACCTGTTCCTTAAAAAATATGGAAAATGACTGGGAAGGATTGTGTTGGTGACATCTTGGGGCACAGGGCACTTCTTAAAGTAGGATGAGAAGCGCCCATTTTCCACCAGCTAGAAGAAGGCACCTAAATAGTATTGTGTTCTAAGGGGAAAACATAAGGTTTTGAAGAAATGTATCAGTCAAAAATGGTTTGTTTTTCTTTCTTCAGCAAAGGACCCAGGCAAAAGACAAATTAGAATATTTGGAATCAGGCAGGCTGGAAGTAGCATGACACATTTGAAATATTCATTTGATAATTAAACACCTGAATGGCTAGCAGACTGGAATTTAACATGCTAAAGAGTGAAAGGAGAGGGCAACACTGAAAATGTTCTCCAAGGTTCCCAATTCCCTGGTTTTAAGGAATTCTGTTACTGTTTGCTTAGTGTTTACAAGTCAAATTGCAGGCAGTTTTACAGCACTTCACATGTGAGATGATTTTTCTGAACTAATTCCATTCCTAGCCAAAGCAAACACCTGGATGCTTTTGTGGCCATGTGTTTCCAAACATCTTTGGCTCTCCTAGTCTTTTTCTTATTCCACATCTCTGATTTCCTGGCCCTGCCTTCTGTGGTTCTGTGTGCCATTCTTGTTTTAGTTGTTAGGTCTAAAATGAATAGAGTCAGAATTACAGCTCTTATTTCTGGAAAGGATGACAAATATTATTTGATCCATGTCTGCTCTTGAAGCTTATTTTAAAGCCAGGTGAATCTGTATCAACAAAGGTGTGTCTATATTGGTTTTGAATACTTGAAGCTCCCTATCTCCTTGTTCCTTGAGTAATCACAGGTCAGGACAATTTCTGGATATGCAGATAACCAAGAATAGAGCAAATACCCAACACCTCGTGCTTCATCCCTATTGATACTTTGTGTCCTTCCCTAATTATAAAGCTCTTGGTTCTTTTCTACCCATCTGTAATCTTGTCCTTTCTATTTTAATCTATCCAAGAAGATATTTGCATGAGATTTCCTTATGAACGTATCTGTACCGGGTGTGGGTGTGGGTGTGGGTTGTAACAGAATGGGTACCCTTTCAGGTTGTACCTGAGCAATTCTCATTCTATGTCTCTCAGCAGTATGCATTAGAGCAAATTGCCTAATGCAACATAAACTGTTCTATTTAATGCAGTATCTGTTTCCCTTGTTTGCTAAGTTGAGAGTAGGTAATTCATTATATTTCAGTAGCATCTAATAAGTAGAAAGTTCAATTAAAGAGCCTAGATGCTTTCAAAAAGCACACTTTTGGCCCCTTCCCTCTTCTACATAAACATAGGGTCCAGACTGTATGGGGATGATTGAGGTCTTTGAAAAACTATATGTGCACACAAAAGAACCAAATCACTGTATCTGTATAGATACAAAACCCTTAAGTATATATATACATATACATATACATATATATATATATATATATATATATATATATATATATATATATATATGTATGTATGTATGTATGTATACAGTTTATGAGAACAGCACCACCCTGGAACTAAAACCTGGGGTTCACGTGCCATTCAGTTTTTTGTTCAACCTCGCAGACTTTTATTGCTCACCTTTTCTCATACTAAACATTTGCTTTGGAAGTACCTTGGTACTCTGTGAATGTATTACCATGCCTTTTAAATTGAGTAGATTTTCAAGACTAATAAAAGGCACTATTTAACATCATTTAAATCTCAGCTTTTAAGACTTGATGAGAAACGGATATGGATCATCTGTAGAACACCCCCAAATCCAAAAAGCACACAATAAGAAATTGGGTCTACATATTGGGATAACAAATCAACATGTCATTCCAGCTAAATACCATGAAGATAACCATATTGCAATAGACAAGTAGGTCTGTGTATTCTGTGAATATAGTAATTATTACTCATTTGAAGCCAGGGAAAACACACCATCTTTAAATAGAGTACTATTGATTAATAGTTGCCTCTCCTAGGCATACAATAAACTCGGGTAAAGTTCAGGGATTTTTGTCTTCCAGGCTGTTTTCCCCGTCTCCAGGCTTTTCACAAGGGAGTGATAACATTGCCAAACACTTGGCTATCACCAGGAGCATGGCTGTGGTCCAAACATCCCACCTTAGCAATAGGGGGAAAAAGACCTCCTCCTAGTTGTTTCTCTTAGACCCAGCAGGAAGGACAGGACCTGTGAATTCAGCTCTGAACTTGACTGTGTGGAACATGATTGGGGCTGTTTGCCCCAGTCGTATATGGTGTAGCAAAGTGCACACTCTAGAGCATAGATCTGACTGTTGGCCCCGATTTGCATTTATGGGCTCCATAGAGGAATCCAGGTAATCTAAACTGCTCAGCTCTTGAGTTTGAAGGTTACAAAATCAGCAAGGTAAATGAGAGCTCTGGTTCTTCCTCTATCAGCCACTTGGCTCTTTGCAGTTCAAAGAGGCTGTCCATCCAGACTGAGTATCTTTATTCTTATGCTCATCCCAGGCCCTTTTGGAAGAGGCCTGGGAGCTGGTTCTTTGGGGGGTTGGCTAGGGACATAATACCATAATACGTATTCCTGGGAAATAACAATTAAATCACCGTCCATGCTCTGATTCAGGAGAACGTTGTTCATGAAAAAGATGTTTTTGGTAGGTGCCAACAGTATCATGTCCGAAATCTCCTAAAGTCTCCCTCATCCACCGCAAGTCTCTCCCAGGTGTCCCAAAACAATCTGTTGCTGTTTTCCATTTGTGTCCCACCACCCCAGCCCACAGCTAGCCAGCTAGCCAGCCAGCCAGCACCTTTCCAGCCTGCAGCAGCTCAGCACCTTCACTGGAGCCTCATTTCACTGCTGCTCTTCAGCACCAAATAGGACAGCACCCTCGCCGCTTGTCAACTTACCCCAGGCCAAGTGGTTTCTTCAGATTTGTGTTTTCTGGAGTCAGTGCAACCGGGCGGGCGCGTGGGGCGGCAGCCTTACTGGACTCGGTTTCCGCGGCACTCAAAGAACAGCCAGCCACCTGGGACAATTCCTGGCCTGGAGGCTGCCAGTGGGTGGGTGGTTTAGGCACAGGCAAAGAGATCAGGGTACTGAGAGGGGCCCCAGGACGGACTCGTACATGCGTACATGCGCTTCCTGGTTTGATCTTCAGCTAAACTTCCAGCTGGCTAGGCAGACCCCCTCACCTTTTTTTTTGCCTCTGCCAGTGCCTTAAACTCTTCGCTCCCCAGGAGCTCCTGCCCTGCTCTCCCTTGCTCTTCTTCTCTTAGCTCTCTCCCAACGTGAGCCCCTCAAAACACAGGCACTCCTTCACGCTGCAAGCCACAAACAATAAGAGCAAGGGGAGAAGCCAAAAGCAGACAGCAAGAGATTGAGGATAGCTGGCACCCTGGTATGAAGAGGAGTGCGGTGTGTGTGTGTGTGTGTGTGTGTGTGTGTGTGTGTGTGTGTGTGTGTGTGTGTGT